AAAATTTTCAATCACTTGATTCGTTCAAGAGATACCATTAAAGAGAAATTTTCGAAAAAGTATTTTTTCAACTTTAAAAATTTTAGTCGAATTGATTTTCAAAATTACATCAATTTTTTCATTTAAAAAACTGACCTAAAAACCGCCCCCATGAAAAAAAAATATAAATAATATATATTTCGAAATATATTTATTTATTTATTTATTTATTAAAGTGTTATTTTTAAGTTATAATAAACCTTGAAACACTAGCTTTTGATTCGGATTATAAATAACTATTACAATTTTTACAATACAATTAATTATAAATTAAACGTAAAAATTATTACACTAAATAATTAAAATTAGTTTAAAATTATATATTAATACAATCTTTATCATTAAGAAAATAAAAACAAAAAAAATAATATTTACACAATATTTAAATTATGCGACGAACCTGTAAATAATTTTAAAAAATATACGAAAATTAGTAATATCCATTCAATTAATTATGAAAATTATGTTTTTGATAAAACTGACGATTCTTTTAATTATTAAAAATATAAAAATAGAATAAATGTATCATTTAAATTTATTACAGATATTTTATATATATTTTGAGGTTGTTTCATGTTTTCAAAACTTTTGAATTAAAAAATGAATTAACTAAATTAAACGAGACCGACAATGATGTGTCAATCAAGTAAATAGTGAATATTATCTATGAATTCGTAATTAAATTGAGTTATTTGTACTAAATAAAAGTATCTGATTAAATTTGGATCAGTTTAAAATTAATTAACTCATTGGTACAGAGCAGTTGAAACAAAAGTATTGCGGAAAAATGCAGTCTGATAACTCTATACCAAAGATAGTAGCAAAAGATTTTTCTGTGACAGTATTATATCAAGGAAACATCTATTGTGGTAAAACGGGTGCCTCGCGGAAAGTATGTTTACTCCGAAAGCTTGAAAATCTAATAAATTTCCTTCGTAGGCGGGCAAATATCGCTTCGCTCTGATATTGTCAGTCCTGTGACATTTTACACAATGTCAAGTTTTTCTACATGAAAATAAAATTGAAAGTGAAAAACAAAAAATTTTAATAAATAGTTATAGTTTATTTAAAAAATATCGTCATATTAGTTTTTCCAACTTTTATTAATAAACTTGAACTTTGTTTTTATCAAATGCATTATAGTTAGTAGTGAAACATAATACATTGTTGGCATCTCTTATATATAAGACACAGATTTCATCTGTAAAAAGATTCGCCAAACATCCATTAATAAAAATAATTTTTAAGTACTTTTTACAATGTGAAATACAACTAAAACAATAAAGTCATTTGTAGAATGGTGGATTATCTCAATCGATACCCAATGACTAAATTTATCCGAATAATTGTTAAGATTTATGATTTTAGTTGTTTTTTATTTCAAATAATTTTTTTGATTAATTTTATTTATTTTTTTTTTTTTGTATGAAAAGGATTTTTTTTCACAACAAAAATATGTTTTTCCTATTTAAAAGCGTATCTTCTAATTCTAAAAATTCTTTTAAATAAAAAAAGCTTACTTATTAAATTTTCAATCGACAAACCGTCTAAAATGGACAAAGTTACTCTGATCAAGGTCTAACTCATCTAAATTAATATACTGCGGTCACTACAAATAATATTAAATTTACGTTCAGATAATTTGAAATACTACATCAAAATGACCTTGATGTATTAACCCTTTGCGTATCCACTTCTGTCAGTAAGCGTATATAGGGTGAGCTTTACCCCAGTATTTTTAAAACTCATACAATAAAACAAGAATTATTTAACAGTTTCATTTTTAATTTTAGTAGAAATCTCATTTAAAAATTTAGTAATTGTTTGAAAGTGGTCCAACCTAAAATCAAACAATGAAAAAAAATGTTTATTGTAATTTTATAATTTTTTCAATTAAAACATTGACATTTTTTAAACTTTTTTTAAGAGAAAAAATATGTGAATTTTTTTTTACGCACAGTTGATAATTATCATTTTTAAAGATTCAAATATTTCAGATCCTACTTCTGAATGAATATTAAAAATCAAAAAACATTACTTATTTCAAAAATTTTCAAAATTATTTTTACTTATTGAGTCATACCATCCTTCTTCTAACATACAAACGCACATAGTTCGCAACATATCAAATGTATGCGGATTTAAGGAGATAGAATAAACATTTAAACTAAGCGCTAGTTTGTTTTTATCGTATTTTAATCTACATTAATCATCGTCGAATAATTGTTAACTTATCAAAGACTGTTAATCACATTATAAAAGTATTTTAACAGTTTGCATACTAACCTTGGCACGTTTCGATAACGAGATGTGCATACATCTTATATCGAGATTAATTCTGTACACGATATAATACTGCGGTGAGTTTACGAACAGATTGAGCGGTGAATGTATAGTTACTCAGTCATGTAGATGGAATTCTCTTTAAATGATGCAATTCGATCTGATCAATTTTTAAAGATACTTTTTTGCGATTGAATTTTTAAATAAAATGACATAATTATTTGTATAAATTATGCAGTGTTTGTATAATTATTCAAATATAATACTTATAGATGCAAGAAAAGCTTGTAATTGATAAATTTAATTATTCATTTTGGAATTGTCGTTAAGAATGTGTAAGAATTGTCACTCCTTTGATTAGTCATCGTCATCATAAAGTTATGCGAATAAGAAATAAGAGTGAACTCATAATAATTCAATTCGCTAAGACTCAACTTTTGATGACACAATTGATGATGTGATGAAGCTAACACTGAATTGTGTACATCACATCGTTTAAATTGTATGGCGCCGACAACTAAACCGATCCAAGCATATACTAGCATACACTAGTGCTTATGATTTTACATGACCTTCTCTATAAGTGAAATTTATGTTTGTTGATTTACATACTTTCTAAGTGATATATATGACTTTTGTTGATTAAATCACTGAGTAGAGGAGTGTAGTATAATAAATTCTTATAGTTCACTTTATACTAGTAGTTTTAAAAATTATTATTATGATAGACCAGACTTAATGTAACCGCTATAAATTTATAGTCATTTATTCCTTGTCAGAAATACATATCAGTCATATTGTGTAAATATTGACGGGTATTATTATATAGCTCGTATTCCGAATGGAAAGATAAGCCAGGAGGTGTTTCCCCGAGGTCTCGTAAATAATTTGATAGTTACTCGAAAACGATTGCTAACGATAAACAAATTAACTGGAACGTTGACTTGTATTGAATGGTTTACTAGTATATATCATCACATCAACATCATCATCATCGTCGTCATCGTATATATATATATATCTATAGTTATAGACAGTCCATACGGATATGAGTCTTTGATGTGTATAATAAACTTGTATGAGGTCGTTGTCTTTTCTGAGACTCACTGTCTACATATTTATTATGTGCCGGTTTGTAATTTGAGATAACTTATGATAAACATACCCGGCGCACGCTTATCTTACGTTTTGTCTTCATGAAATTCCTTCGATGTAGTACTGAGCTTTGAGCTTCAGTACTTTTACTCGCGTTTCATTAATAATGTGCATAACAGATTTTATTTTATTTTTTTTTCATTCAAATACTTTAATAAGATTGAAATAATTTATTAGAGATTGAATTAATGGTCTAGTCGATAAGTGGTAAAATAAATCAAGTTAAAAGTTAAATAAACATTGTTGCATGTATATGTGTATATTATTACGCTGCATCTGTTATCGTCACGTAAACACTTGAATTTTTTATTATAAATTAAAACCGTAAAATCGATGTTAATTTTTGTATAAAATAATTATCACAGCCATTTATGTGACAATAATGTTAACCATACGAATTTTAATTACACGGAATATCTATTGACCTTATAATATTTTCATTGAGATGTTTCAAGTGAAAATGTATGTAATTTTTTTTTGATTGATTTTTTGTGTAATAAAAAAAAATTTTCTTTTTTTCTTTAACAAAATTACAAGTGTTAAATATTATTTATTGTTATCTTTGATTCATATCGTGAATACCGAGATATAATGGATGAAAATTTTTATAGATTAACATTGCGTAGATTTTGATACAGTAGTAAATGAACGATAAGATTTAAAGTTATAAAAAATACAATATATAATTTTATGTAAATAAAATATTGAAAAAAAACGGGATGTATATAAACGCCACATGAATATTATTGGTCACAGTAGTGGTGTTGGGACAAAAATTTTCCCGGTGGTAGTCCATTAGAAGTGCACGGACGATTTAGCGGAGCAGAGAAGAGGGGATTCGTTGCTCTCTGAACAGCTTTTAGGTTCAGAAATTTGATGTTAGCTACTTGCGATGCTAATATATGCAGTTTTATACTTACTTTTACAAGTAAATAAATATTTTTTTTGTTATAATATCTATATAACATTATTTTCTAATGCCAAAAAAATAAAAAATGACGAACTTACGCTGAAAAGTCTTATCTCGGGACAATGTTGCAACAAACATCATAACAATGTTATTTTTTCTTATTACTTCATAAACGCTCATTACTTAGGAGCGTAGTTTTATTATCGCTTGTGTTGTTAGACTGATGAAAAATTATATTAAGCGTATGACCAAGTAATGGTTGACCATTACTTGATTTCTGCCCGGGTCATATTGCCTTATTACTTTTCCTAGTATTAAAATGTTATGGCAATCATAAGATTTCAGACGAGTATAGTTTAATGTTTAGTTTTATTGAATGTTGGTACAGAACTTATTTCCGTTTCATAGCTCACATATAATTTAAATACAGTAAACTAATTTAATAGAAACGCATTACTTTATCTCTATCTTTACTTATTTTTTTCCCGCGAGTTGTAAATATTTTATTAAAAAGTGGATAAAACATCATGAATATTTTTGTCAAATTTTTAAAAAATTTCAATGAAACTTGGCGTATATATTTTGTAGACAATTATCGAAATTAAGCTCAACTATGATAAAAGTAATTTGATATTTTCAATATTTCAAAAATTAACTTTTTTTTTTTAAATAACAATTTATAAAATTCATGTGAAATCTCATAAAATAAAATTTAATTTTCTAATCTGCGCAATCTTGTGAAATAATAATTTTTTATTATATTTTATAAAAATCGAAATCTCTGATGTATATGATATGAGGTCAAGGGACATTTTTACCAGTCCTGTAGTATAGAGTTCAATTTGAGACTTAGTTTTGTTGGTATTTACAGGTAAATGACAAACCGGTGTCAAGTAGTGATATTGAATGCTCGTGTCTTGTGACAAAGCTTGACATGCAGGTATTATGTCTCGTGTAAGGATAATATGATCCTATTTTCTCGCTCAATTGACAATTTTTATTTTATTCCTGAACCACACTGGTTTCGCTTTTCTAAAATTTAAACTTGCGGAATTTCAAAAAATAAAAAAAAAAAACATTTCCGTATAAGAAATACAAATAGTATAGCAATAATTTAAAATCAAAGAATTTTCGTTATCTTTCACGCTATAAAAATAAGAATTAATATATGTACATACATATAGACATATATGCTTATATAAAAACTTTACGAATTGTAAAATTAGCCGTTTTTAAACTTCTTATAACTTTTGAATGGGTCGGTCGAATCTGCTCTAATTTTTAGAAAAACTAAATTTATTGAAGTCCTTTTAGATGCCTCAAATCGTTTTTTGATCCGTCGATCCGTTCAAGGATTACGAGAGATTTAGAAACGGTTAATTTTACAATTCACAAAGTTCACAATCGGCTTATTTTATAAATTTCTGCAGTAAAAATTGGCTAAATTCTTGTTTTCCGCTATTTTATAAATGACTGAATTTATATTTGGTGAAATTTCCATTTCGCTAATTTCATTAATATCATTTTTTATTAGCGACTAATTTTACAAGCGATATTATCAACTGGTTTCACAATTTAGAATTAATAAACGTTCTATTAGTTTACAAACGGCTATTTTCCAGTAATATTAAAAACATACTTAAATTAATGACCACGATTGTATAGATTTTGGTTTTTCAAAATCAATAAAGTATCTTATTTAAAAAGAATTTTTTTCTAGTAAATTTTTATTTTAAATCACTGTTTAATGATTTATCTTTGGAGAATCTGACGTCGTTCTTCAACCATGAGAAATATCCTGCGAACGCTTTTAAATAATTCATTTCGCTTCTCATATATATATATATATATATATATATATACATCTACTCTTCATTTTTAATAATATATTACACATAATTGACTTATCATTGTAATTTTACATTTATGTCTATAAGGATATAATTAATAATGAAATTATCCATTTTCATGAATTTATAATTTGTTGCTAATTCGAGAATTATGTACTCTGATTTCAGCATGTACTCAAAACGAATTCAGATGTAGAAACGGTCAGTGTATTAGCAGTCGATATCGTTGTAATGGAGCCACTGAATGCTATGACAAATCTGATGAATTGAATTGCCGTAAGTAATAATTTTTAATTACGTGCATCTAATTATGTGTAAGTTCTTTTTTTTTTTGTAACGGTGATTGTACAATTTATTTTCTTTCATAATTATCAGAAAAAAAAATCGTATTATTCTACACTTCATATGAAAAACATTGTGCATGTTCTTTGTATTCGCTGAAAATTTTTTTTTTTGAAAATTGGCTACTCTTCACAAAAGAAACCAGTGAATTTAAATGTTTGCAAAGCTATTGTTGAGTCTAACAAATAAAAGTCTTTACGGCTTCTTAAGCTTTGTTATGTCACACTATTTTCATATGCATGATATTTCTGATGCAAATCACGTAGATACCTTTATATATTTGAATTTATCATACTGTTATTTATTGTTATTAGGCATTTTTTCTATTAACAGTATTTTTTCATTTATTAGCTTAAGTAATATTTAAATTACAATTTTTTGAAAAATTTTATTTTTTAAATATTTAGCGAAGATCATAAATAAATAAAGTTGAAGTAATGTGAACGAGAAAAAACAATTAGATCTTTGTAATGTAGAAATTAATTTTTATGATCTACTTTTATTTCTTAAATTTCTTAATTAAAAAATTTAACTTGTTTAATAAGATACCCATGTATACTTTGTCCAAGAATTTTCATACTTTTGTTTCAAAAATTCTTTTAAAACTAAAACTTATTGAAGTTCTGTTACTTTCTATACTGATTACTGAAAAAAAAAATTCCGAACGCGCTTCAGAGTATGCTGAAGTCAAAAATTAGAATAAAAATAAGAACATAAAGTTCTTCAAGAAATAAAACGATAATATTCTTAGTTGTAAAGAATTATTCTCAGAGAAAGAATTTGATTGTATCGGTCGAAGGTAAAATATTTTTTTATTAAATGACAATAGTTATCGGTCGAAAATATTGGTTTCTTAAACCAAGATGACAAAATTCAAGACAAAAAATTCTTAAATCAAGGCAATCGGTTGTCATCAAAATAAACTTCTCTCGGAAACATTATTTTTTTTCAATCGATGTAGTTTTTCTAATCGGTTTGACTTTAAAACACAATTTCAATACACTGATAGAAGGATTTTTTTGGATTTAAAAAGAATTGTTTATATTTAATTAATGATTTACTAGAGGATAGGTCCTTAACAAATATTTATTAACAGTTAATAAATCATTTATTAGCAGCTATTTTTTTGTGCTAACCAAATATTTATTACTATTTAATAAACGATTTATTAACATATAAAAAATGATTTATTAATATTTAATAAATCATTTATTAATATTTACACACTGGATTATTAATATTTAAAAAATTCCTGTAAAACGTGTTTCAATGTTCTATTTTAAGTGTAAAAATTACAGAGAATTAGATATTTAATGAAGTAAATGAAGTAAATGAAATTAAAGGATACAAATAATAAAAAGAGAAATTACAATTAGAAGTTTACAAGAGAAGTTTACAATTAATTTTTTTATTGCAACCATACATTTAAAATCAAAGTAACTACTGTAAAATAATCGATTATTGATAAAAATTTTTTAAATTAATTGACAACTTTTCAAGATTAGTATATTTTACAACTTGACCAAATTTTACAACATGTTTAAATCCTTCTGCTTTGATAAATTTTTCACATAAATCAAGTTGCAATTTTTTCGCTAGAGTAAATAAAATATTTACAACTACGCGTTAAGTACAGCCATCTACCAACACTGATCACCAACAAGATATTTGTTAACTATTAACAAATCTTATTTGGTGGAAATAAATACTTTTTTCAATACATTAAAGCTTTTTAATAGTTACAAAAATTTTGTTCTCATAAAAAATAGATTTAGTTAATATTAACGAATATTGTTAATAGTAAAAAAATATTTATTCCAACCAAAAAAATATCTGAAAAAGATTTTAATAAATTGATTTATTAAATACAAACAAATCTTTCTATCAGTGTATTACAATGGCATGAAGCAAAAATTTTCAAGTTAAAAAAGATATCTTAGTAACTTTTTAATCAAAAAATTAAATAAATATTTACACTCTTAATCATATTTTGTTTAAAGAGCCCAATGGTATAAATACATAAATCTATAAACACATATATTTTCTGTATTACAACTAACATACAGTATTCTTTGTAAGAATACCTTGCATAGCTTTGTTAGATTTAAAACGTAACTTATTGTAGAATGAAGAGTCGCCGATTCTCCTTACTTATGTCGCATTAGCTCAAGCTATTATTTATGTAATGCTTCCGGGGAGTATGTTACAGTGCCAGTAAATAAATAGAGTTGGATGCTTTGCATGCCTCACAATTCTGAAACTAATCGTATTGCGGGTTTTAATGGATTATTATGGGAATCAATAATTATAATAATTGAAATAACAATAACAATGGCGTGACCATGGGTAACTGATGAATCTACTGTAACGATAGTAGCACGATGCTACTGACATACCAGCTCACTATTACCGTAAGTTCATGCACGAGTATCGAGTCAGGGAAATCTCAGGTCACTACGGTTTTATTTTTGAATAATTTTTTATTTTACTCAACGTAAATATTTATTTTTTACGGTTATTAATTTTCGTTGAATGAAAAAGCAAAATCGATTATGGTTTACTAGGATAATTAGAGAGATGATTAAATTACGAATAGTGTGTGAAAAAAAATATTGTTAGAGCATAGCATGTTGAGAGGAATATCTCTTGGAATAGAATTTGAGTAGCGTTTATTAGTCGGCCTAATAACCGTCCACATTTTAATCTGACGTTAATCTCTAGGGGAATTCGAGTATTGAAGCCGAAAAGTTTGGAGCGAATATATACATAACAGATGGCTACGATGGGTAAAATTTTTCACATTTTACCTCAACGGTTATAATCGAATATATGTTGGGCATTTTATTCTCTCCACACATTCTTTTGGATTTAAATCGTTTTTACGTGACGTTATTATAATGTATGCAGATTTTTTTTTTAAATATCGATCCATAAAATCTGTTACTTCTTTCATTGTTTAAATTGTTGCTTTTATTGTGCTTGGTTTTATAGAGACATGTGTCCAATAATCGATATCATTTAACGTCTAACTAATTTTTATCGTTATTTATATTCATAGTTATAAAACTATATTTTATCGCTTTGTGTTTTCTGTTGTTGTTTCGTGATCAACATCTGACATGAACCAACCATTGTCCATATTCTATTGAATACATTAAGCTGTTCTTCTATTTGTGTCATCATCTGTCTCGTCGATCTATATATCTGCATACTTTACCTATGTGATCTTACATACAATATTGGACAAAAATTTTCATTGCTATTTTCAAGCGTATATAATTTGAGACAAAAAAATAGACACAATAATGTTTACAGCGTGCAAAGAAGATCAATTTGAATGTGCAGCGCTCTATTGTATTCCGAAAGAGCAACGTTGTGATGGTGTAAATCACTGCTCCAATGGTCGCGATGAACTCAACTGCGACACTCACAGTATGAATTATTTATTTGATTAAGTATTGCAGAAATTCAACTAAATATATTTCTTCATTATTCGTAATATATATATATATATATTTTTTTTTTATCGAAAACACGTTTGATAAGTTACAACTTACGGGCCTAATTAGACTTTGCCGATGATAGACATACGTACGAATTCTGTATGTCAGGATTAATTATTAGTAAATGATAGACGCAAGAAATTATTTAGACGGATTAAGTATTAGATATGGTTTGCATTATGATACGTATTAATATACGTTTATTTAGAATTAATTAGAACAGGAATATCTTGCATGGCGTATGTTTGATGATTTATTATTAATCTAATCTATATGATGTATTCAATTTAAAAAATCAAAATTGTAGTCTCCTTTAAAAAAATTTTTTTTCTAAGTTTTGAAGTAATTTTATCTACAAAAATTTAGAATTTTATTTTTTGCATTATTATCAAACTAATTTTTATTTTTTAATTCATTATGAAATATCCTTAATGATAAATATAATTTTTCAAATGATTTGTAAGTTCGGACCTGATTATTTGTAAAATTATGGTGATTGTTCAGTTTAATAATCACCTGGTTTTTTGGGCATAAAAAATCAAAAAATTTTTTATTATTCGATTTTTCTTCGCGACGAATCTTAGATTTTCTTAATGAAAATTTATAAAATTTTATTTTTGTATCAGTTTGAAAATCGAAAAGTGCAATTTGACTAGTTTTTTGTTGAAATTTTTAAACATTAATTTTTTGAGCATTATACATGTTTTTTCAAAGAACACTAAACATGAAAAAATTAAAAAAAAAATATTTATTTAAAATCACAATGATGTAATTAATTAATTTTTAAATTATATTCAAAAATTTGCCGCGATGAAGAGCAAAATAAAAAAGAAACTTGTGACAAGTTAATTTTGCGATTTTTCTTATGTCCAAAAGTGAGGTAACCATCAAATTATTTTATATGATTTAATTTTTTTCTTTTGCTAACTTGATTTATTTTTATTTACACAATTTAGCTACTTCGTACTGTCTTTCTGGTCAGTTTAGATGTAACGACGGTCACTGTATCGATGGATCTCTTCATTGTGATGGTCGAAGTGACTGTTCAGATCGATCTGATGAAAGAAATTGCCCTGGTATTTTATTTATTTTTTTATTATTTTTATTTATAAATTAATACAATAAATTTTTCAAAACATAAAAATTCGACTCCGATAATTAATTGCATTTGAAACTTAAAATACATTATTATGTTCACAGTAACAACGTGTAACAGTGATCAATTCCGATGTTCAGATGGCACCTGTGTGAGTATCGATAAACGGTGTAATAACATCAATGATTGCAGAAATGGGGAAGATGAAAGTCAGTGTGGTAAGTAGTGATTTTATTGATTGAAAATGACATACCTATCTTTTAGCTATAAATAGTTACAAGAGTTTTGATAGAGTTTTGTTTAACAAAACATATTTATAATTTAAATGTAACTATAGCGCTACTTATTTCCCAAAATTACTCATTCTTAAAATACATACTTATTTCATCCAAATAATCCAAGTAACTTTACTAAAAATCATAACATACTAGACACAAATGATAGAAATCCAATGAAATTATAATGGTAGAAGTTACGGACCCTCGATATGTTACGCTGAGCGAATTTTTCGTGGATAGAGTTATTGAACCGATAAGTTAATTTTTGAAATTTAAACGTTAGAAAAATCTTGTAGAAATTTCTTCCAAGCTTGTAGAGCAGTAGGTGATGGAGCAATTGAAGGGTAAAATGAAGGTGATAGCTATTGATTATTGTTATAAATTTCGCATGAGTGGTGCTTTTTGCTATGTGGATTAGGTTGTGGAGCTACGGACTTTCGTTGCAAAGATGGTCAATGTATTGCCTACCAACTGCAGTGCGACGGATCGAACGATTGTCGCGATGGATCTGATGAACACGAACAATGTGGTAACTATTTACTTCATTCAAATAAGCTTTTTATTTATTCAATAATACAGCCTAATATTTAACATTAATGATTCAATTAAATTCGTTAGTAGTGCGCAAAGAATTAATTCATTGATTATATACTGAGTTTACTTACTAATTTATCATTACACTTTTTCATTATTTCATTATTTTCATTTATGTATATTATGGTGGCGCAAAAAAACCGATTTTTTTTTATTCTCCTATGAAAGGATGCTAGTTGATTATTTTTTAAGTCTTTTCCAAAAATCAGCTCGATTAGAAATTGTTAGGGATCGTTCAAACTTTTAAAAAGTTTTTTAAGTCGTTTTTAAGTTGAATTTTTTTTTCACTTTTTTTTTTTATTATTCTATCATGTTTTTTTTTTTTTGTTTAAAGTGATATAGAGTATTGTGGTTAATAAGACAACTTAGAAATATCGTAATGTGAATCAATATTTAAGCGCATCTTTTATGAAACATAATCAAAAAATAGTGATTTTTATCATAAAAAAAGATATTATATTTTGTGGCAAAAAATAGAACAAAGTGATTTCATACGAATGCTGTCATCGTATATCACTTAAATTGAAAATTGAAGTTTTAATGTCTTGAACCAGTCGAAATGGGATAATTTCAGACCGATGTATATTGTTAAATTGTCAATGACATGAGCTATTTCGAGGTTTACAATAATGTTATTTTATTAGGTAAAAATTACATCTTCTCACTGAACAGAGCAGAAAGTTTAAACTTTCGGTGCAGATATGGACCGATCATAACGATCGGAAATTGTCTCGCTTTAACTGATTTAACAGGCGTGAAAATTGAAGTTTCAATTCATTGCAAGTGATACGAAATCAAAGTGAATTATTTTAAAAAAATTTACGTCTAATCGAGCAATAAGAACTACACTGATAGAAAAACAATCTTGATTCAAGAAACTTGTTTTCTTCAAAACGAACTCTTGAAACTAGATATAGATATATTTCTTTCAAGAATTTTTGTCTCTTGGTTCAAGATAGGTGATAACATTGATTCAAGATGTTACCGACTTGTGAGAATGGCTTTTTTTTTGAGTCATTAAATAATTTACTTATTTCTAAGAAATAATTTTTTTTTGGTATAACAATTAAAGACTATTTAGTTTTTGAATTATACTTTGATGAACTATTTTAAGTTTTTTAAACGATAATGTTATTTTGATTGAAAAACTTAAATGTATCGATTGAAGATAACATAGCTCTTAAGCCAAGAAAATCTAAATCAAGACAAGAAATTCTTAGAACAAAATAATCATTTGTCTTCCAAAATAAATTCTTAGATCAAGAAAATATCTCTTGAGTCAACATAAATTTTCTATCAGTGTATGAATGATTTTTTGGAGCAGATTTTTGAAACACGATTAACTACTATTATGTTTTCATAGGAGTAGACTTAAGAAATAAAAGTAGTCGGTTTTTTTGCACCTTCTGAATACACATGTTTTATCATAGCGGAATATGAATGGCGTAATTACTACAACACAAAAAAATACATTGAATTAGAAAGAAAAAAATTATCATCTAACAAATTGAGTCAAAATAAAAGACAACACCTATCGAGTAACTCGATAAAATCAATGAAAAAAAATAATTCATACACAGAATTTTCACACTCTGGAAAAGATATTACCGATCCAATTTTAGAATCTTTTCCGAATATACTTTTAATTTTGACAAATAATGTAACGAGTTTCAACGATACTGAGTCGCCTAAGCTGCAATGGGAACTGATTAATACAACTGATAGTAAGCACTTATCATCTAATCAACAAGAAATCAAGCCGTTATCTCAGAGTTATGAATTACATTATCCGCCTCAAGCATCTCAAATTAATGCAGCTATTCAAAAAATAATGGAAGTACTTTCACAGCTAGATAAAAAACAAATTGAAGAAACTTTAAATTCCTTGTATAAGCCAGAAACTAAGTTGCATAAAATGACAGAAAAGAAACACTTATCTTCTCATATTATAGATCGGAATAACTTGAAAGATGATTTAATAAGGAGAGTCATAGCTGATAGTATTATAAGTAGAGTATTGAAGCATAAAAATAAAACAAGCGCGGTTTATAAGTATTTAATAAAATTATTGAAATCGCAGGATAACTCAATTGCAAATTTAATCGAATCTAATACTATATCACCAGTGGCTAATATTACGTCCGTTTCTTCAGCTAAAAAAAGTTTCGACTATAATAATTCAATGACTTTCTATAAGTGGTTGAATCGAACGAGGGTGATGCAAAATCATTGGTTTAAATTTCGGAACCAGTATATTAACTATAAATATAAAAAAAATCGAACTAATGCACAACCTCGCAGAAATAATGACATATCAGTCAAAAAACAGAATTATCCGCAGTACTTTATCTCTGTAAATAGACCAGCAGATCTGAAAATAAACAATACATCAACATTAAAAAACGTTACATTTAACGTAGAACCTCTTAATGAATCTGCATTATTAAGCAAAAATGACATCAGACTGGACTATTCGAAGGCTAATAATAATAATTCCATAATACCTGAAACAAAAATACAAGTGATGAATAAGCGAACTAAAATAAATAACTTAATATCTGATGTAAAATTGTCGAAAAATTTCAATTTAAAAAAAAAAAGTTCCGGTTTTGGAATATCAGACGGAAATAAACTTACATTAAGAAAAAGAAAATTTTGTCTAAATAGACGTAAACTATATAGAAATTCTTCAATATCTTGTTATTCTAGAAAAAACTATTTCGGTAAGAAAAATAACGTTAGTAATTATTTTAAAAAATGGAACATTAAAAAGTCAACTTATAGTTACGTGAATAATAAAGTTAAAAGTAGAAAAACTAATGATGAGTCAAATATTACTTTAAATCGACGTAAGAGATTACTCGATGACAGCTTACTGAAGTTTAAAGAGGAATTTCAAGGAATTTATGATACAAATATGGAAAACCGAGAGGTAATGAAAGTTAAAAATGCTACTAATCACGAATCGAAGGGATTAAAAATAAATGAACCCAAAGATGAAGAACGTCATTTATTCAATAATAATACTGAAACTGTCGTAAAATATAGTTCTGGTAGTAATTCTTCATCACTTCAAGATTCAGAAAGAATTAATGTAGCAAATTATGAGAAAACGTCTATTGATTCAAATTCATCAGAATGCGACAGTGAATGTACGAATTATCAAAAAAAATTGAATATTGATTCCAGCAGTAGCACTACATTAAGTGAGTTAGCAGGAAGAAGCGCCGATTTGGAATTGATAAATATTAAGGAATATAATCAATCAACTTTAAATAAATTTAAACTGTTAACATTCCCCGTTGAATCGCAAAAAGAAGTAATTATAACAAAAGCTAAAAATAGAAAGAAAAATCCTAAAAAGAAAAAACTCAAAGGAAAAAAGGGTAAAAATGAAAAAGAACAATATGCAAATGGAAAAAGTAAGAGAAAGACTACTCCTTCATCTTTTATTATCAGTACTGATTCAACTTTATCAATTATTGAAAGTGTTACTACATCACCTTCAGCTGAAAATTTTTCTGATGTTAATAATACTAAAAATGTGACTAACAATTCATTGCCCACATATTCAATATTTAATACAGTATGCTCATGGTGGTTTGTTAACTGGTTATGGGGTTGCTCTCTTCCCGATTTTATCCCGACTGTTTCGGAAGAAAATACAGAAAAGTTTATTGCGCCTGAGTTTGATCTAATAAAGTTAAAAGACACTTATAATTCATCGCTTGATCGAGAAAATATGTCGCTAGATATTTTTGATGTTGATAATATAACAAGTAGGGATACTCAGAATTCTTTAGCAACTCTAATCGAGCCGAATATTGACTTAAAGTTGACACCGATGACAAAAAAAGAAGAAATGAATGGTGATAATTTTGACAATACAAGTATAATTATCACAAGAGACCCAGAATTTGAAGATTATTGTGGTGAGAGCCGATATTTTTGTGATGGAAAAAAGTGCATTGACGAAGAGAAAATTTGTGATGGAAAATTAGATTGTTTAGATGGCTCTGATGAATATGATTGTGAATATTACAATGATTTGAGGAATGATATCATGTTAAAAATAGAGAAGCTTGCATCATTTAAAAATTCAGATGAGAAAGTACTTCCATATCCTTTCATAAAAATCAACAATAATGAAACGAAAACATTATCGTGTGATAAAACGACTCAATTTACCTGCCGTGACAAAAAATGCATCTCTATAATTTTATTCTGCGATGGTACCAGCGATTGTAATGACGGATCAGATGAAGACTCAGAGATGTGCAACTTTTATGATTATGAGAATTATGAAGGTAAAATCCTGTCAATCAGAATAATGGGGATCTTGAATTAAACATGTTTTCGTCTGCATCTGTACTACGCTGTAAAATAATAGCTTTCTTGGTAATGTAAATAAGAAAGTGTAATTATATTGTTTTCTACAATTTTTAAATTCTTTCTTCAAGTATCAAAATGGAACTTCAATCGACAAATTAATATGCATATGATTGTTTATACTTTTCAGAGATCTGTTTTTTGCTTATTTGTGTAGTAATTACTATCAAAATTATCAAGTACTGTACATCCGTGCAAAAAAAAATTAATTTCATCCTTTAACTTCTAAATAAATGTGACTTTATGATGAATTAAAGACAATTTCATTTTTTTTTTTTTTGGAAAATGTATGAAAAGAAATAGTGAGCCGAATTTTATGAATTTTTTTTTGTTTGTCAAATGAGAATTCCAGAGAAAATGTAAGTTTTTTTTTACAGAAAAAAACTCATCAGACGATATTTTAAATGGAATTTTTTTACAAAAAAAAATTATTATGAATTAGCAAATAATTAAGTTTTTGAAATTTAAATAATTCTGAAGAGTTTAGAACAGACAAAAAAATTATTAATAGTAATAACTAATAAATTAAAAATGATATTGAATAAATGAATTTTTCTAATATAATCGGCAATTAAAATTCGATAATTGAATGGATGATTGTTAGAAACTTACCTTTTGCTTCAAATTATACGATGAGTTAATCAAATAATTACTTCCTTTCGTGAAAAGTTTAAAAGAAAGATACTTTCTGTTTTGCAAGACGAATTTTATGACTCGACAGAAATTTACACAATAAAATAAAGTTATTCATATTGAATTAACAATAAAATGTGTGAATTGTTCTTTACAACAATCATATCACAAAATTGAACTTTGTGAAGAAATAACGCTCTATTAAATTTATTATGGATTATTTTTTTTGATTACCCTAATATCTGTCGTATAACAAGACTAAAAAAAATCTTATTTTTCAAATATAACAAAAAAAAATTAATGAAATCCAGTTCAGTGTTTTTGTGTAAGAAAATTGAAATAATTTTTGATAAATTGATATTTATATTTCAAAATACCAATTTGAGTATGAAATTAATCATGAAACAAAATTTTTTGCACGAGCTTACATCATATTATTTTTCATATAATTTAGGCTAAGAAAATTTACTTATAAATAATATTTCATGCCACAGAAAATAACAAAAATGAATGCATGAAACATTATTTATTAATAAATTTTATAAGAAAATTAAAATGTTCTTTTGATAAATTCATGATAAAGTCACGTTTATTTGAAAATGTAAATTTAAGAATGGAGTTTATAATAAATCAGAATTCTTTTTGTACGTGTACAGTACATCTATTTGTGTGTAAGAATTATTATTTTTTAGGTTGACAGATAACGTCATTCACCTTTTCACTTACAGTCATATTCATGTCATTTCATACATACTAGATCTCATTGTAATCTTATGACTTATAAGTAAAATAAGTAGTTTTTGATAAGATGCTTTTTTAAGGGAAGCTATAATTGTTTTTAATTGTTACAAATATAACAGAGCAAATAAAGATAATTAGATAATGCCTCTGTAATAATATTGATGGTAGCAGCTTTAAATGTTTATAACTGTATCTTAACTTAGAAGTTACTTCTAAAAGTACTTCTGTTTAATTAATAGCATCTCAATTTAATCTGGTTATTATTAAACATGTATCAAGTGGCAGTCAGCTACTTAAGAATTATCTTGACTTAAATAAAAATAAATCTTAATTGAAGGCATTTGATATATAAAATAAAATAACATGTACATATAAATTGAGACGCTGGAACGAGAGGCATACTTTTATTATAACTGGCCACTGCAGGTTTGGCGCCTTGCCCTCCTATGGACTTCACTTGCGGGGATGGCTCTTGTATTCCACAGAGCTCAGTCTGCGACGGGTTCGACGATTGTCCGCGAGCAGAGGATGAGCTTAATTGCGGTACATACATTTTTTGGTGAATGCTTTGCTTTTTATATTTATTAACAGCATAGGTTTTGCTACTAACTGGATCAATCTTCTTTAAAAAGTTAACAACATTATTATTTTCTTTAAGAATTATTTATCGGTCTTCTTATTATTATTATTATTTTAAAAAAGTAAGTTTTATTCGACTTTTGTTATTGATTTAGCGATAAATGCCACCGGAGAAAATTTTTAGATTTTTTTTTCATTCATTAAGGTACCCGTCGGGTGATGAGACCTATAGCTATGTGATATTTGTAATAAAATTAAAACTCTCTACACGTTTTGGTGTTAATTATTCTTTAAGGGTATTTTATATGAAACATAAATAAAATATGGCAACTTTTACAGTAAACAAATACAAAATTAAATACTTCTAAAAACTTTAAATGTATCCAACCGTTCTTGATGTTTTAGACATTTGAGATCAATAGTAATATGAATACAGTAATTATGCTGTCGTAATTGATCTTGCATATCAAATATATTTAAACTGAAGTTTAACTATATAATCATACTATACTACGTTTTATTATCTGGCTTTACACTTGAAAAAAAAAAACTATTTTTAAAAAAAAATTATTTTTTTCAAAATTTCACTTTTGTTTTAAGATATTCCGTTTTTTTAATTCAAGAAATTAACTCTTCAAATACAAAATCAAAATACTAGAACTATCAGATAAAGAGCAGAAAGTTCTCCGTAAAAATTTTATTTTAAAACAAAACATTTTACTGTTTTTAAACATGCTTACTTGTGATTTGTCCAAGAGTTTCTTTCTCTATTTCTTAATCATCTTGGATTAAGTGACAGTGATTCAAGATATTACCGATTTATTTCAAAAATACCCTTAAAATCAGTATGATTTTAATATTATTTAAATTTATGATTGACTTACTGTTGATTTACTGTTTTAATATGACTGTAATTAATTCAATAATTAGTAAATGAAGAAATTTTATTTTCACTATTAGTTTTCATGATTGCATTAATCTAATACAAAGAAACAATCGCGTTTTAACTAATAGTAAAAATTAAATTTCTTCATTCATAGTACTTGATCAACATATAACTACACAGACAGCATTGGCGCTAAAACCCATTAATTAATTAATAACTCCATTTTGAGTATTTAATTTTGTATTTTTTTATGGTAAAAGTTACAATTCTTTATCTATATTTGATAGAAAATAAATCGTAGATCCAACGTATTGAACGTTGAAAACGTAGGATCAACGTATTGAACGTTAAAATCGTCATTTGAACGTAATGAACGTTAAAAACGTAAGTTGAACGTATCCAACGTATTATAAATGTGGAGAGAACCAATAATGGGTGAAAATAAGTAATATTAAAACTACTCAAATAACTACACATGTTTGAAACGTAAATAGACAAAAAAAATTTTTTTTCAGTTCTTTGAGGGAGATTTTACATTTCTTAACTTAAATTGACCATTTTTTTTTTATGGAAATGTTTTATCAAAATTTTTTACCCTCGGAATAGTTTCCAAAATTATAGAAATTTTATGAAATATCATTCATGCGATTTTATACCAAAAATGGCCTCATAAATCTATTTATAAAATGATAACTTTTTATACAATTTTATAAAATTTTGTACCATTGTATTTTTACAAAAAAAAAATTAAAATTTTTAACTTCCCGCTAAGAAAATTAAAAATATGTAGTTATTTGAGTAGTTTTAATATTACTATTTTTACCCATTATTGGTTCTATTCATGTTTATAATACGTTGGGTACGTTCAACATACGTTTTTAACGTCCATTACGTTCAAATTACGATATCAACGTTCAATACGTTGATCCTACGTTTTAAACGTCTAATACGCTCAACCTACGATTTGAACGTTCAATACGTTGAATCTACGATTTAAATTTCGACTCGATATCTAAATAATGATTTTCTTTAAAAGTTGCTAATTAAATTGAATATTTGTTATTTTATTATGAATATCGATTCACTAGGCTTTATTACTCGTAAGTAGCTTGTTTAAAAAGTTTTACTCTAATTCGAGGTGAACCTGGTCCATCGAGCGTTGTTTCTAGTAGTTTACGAAATTTTACCCTTTTTAAGATTAAAATTTAAATGAAAATGAATATTTAATACGGCGTTGATGACAAAGTTTTTATTAAAAACAAATAAAATCATTTATCGCAATTTTTTTTATCCATGATATTCGAGATTATTAAAAAAAAACTTTAATTTATTATCGACTTCCTTATATTGGTCAAACTAATCTGACTTCTGTACAAATACTGTTTTAGTTCTAGTGTACAATTACTTAATGGATACTCATACAAACCAATTGTCGTGTTTCAATTTATCTGCATCGATTTAAAGTTTTACAACTGAAAATAACAAACAAGTACTTAAAGCTTGTATACTTGTATACTTACCATTCTTAAAATGTCTATTATTTACCCCGTTCAAGGAGTGAATTCGTAGTTGCAAAAACTCATTTAATAGAACATGAAAATTTTATCTTACAAACGATTTTTTCTTTTAATTCGTATAGTATTTGTGATACCTATAAATAGTTTTGTTCGTTAATAAAATAAACTCGAAAGCGCAGCTTAATGCTTATATTATAAGTTTGTGTGTTTATTTTTTTGGCAATCATCGCTGCTTCTAACAGACCGAGGTTGTACACCAACCCAATTCAAATGTGCTACCGGTGGTAAATGCATCGAAGACATCTATAGGTGTGACGGGCATCCAGATTGTCCTGATAGAAGTGATGAGAACTGTGGAGTCAACAATACTTCAAACAGTACGATTACTCATATCACCTATCCACAGCACCCACTCACTTCACATACCAGTATGCTAAATATGCTCTTTATTTCTTACTCATTTTCATTTTTTTAAGTGAATGAATTATTTTTTCGATTGCATAGTATTAAATTATAATAAATTATTCAGACCGTTATTTTTGTGCTGGTCAACAGAATTTTAAAATAAATATTTCTGATGACTTAATTAAAAATTATTCAGGCAATATGATTATGCAATACAAGATCATAAATTTTGAGAGTTATTTTCTTTAACGTTTGAATAATTGATTTTAATTAGATATTCAATACCATCAGATGCTTGAGATTTTCATTCAATAAGTAGCCTAGAAGGATCATGTGCGGCTATATATATTTCATTCGAATACGCGTTGAGAAATTGAAGCGGTTTTGAACCTTTATTTAAATTTGAAAGGACGTTCTCGATCTATTATAGAATACTTTGAAATTTATGAACACTTTAAATATATATGTAATATCTCATGATTTTTTCTTCGATGTATACAATTAACTGTCAATTTAACGTTCCGGATATTCAAGTTAAGATGAAAGATTAAATTAAAATTGATTTAATCTGTGAAAAGATAATATGATGATAAATGCATCAGTTTTTAACTTGCTTGGATAATTTTTATGATTTTAATACAACTCCACTAAAAAAAAAAAAAAAAAGTTATTTGATTTAAAGTAATATTTCATTCAACACTTTACTCTTGTTTCAAAATATTTAGCTCTTAGTTAAAGAAATTAAGTCTTGAATCGATAAATGATAACTCTGGGATAAAGAGCAGAAAATTTTTTAGTTGAGAATTATACGCTTTAATATGGAAAAATACCAATTGAAAATTTACAGTTTATAGTAGTTTGGTGCTTCGAACAAAAAATTTTCACTAATTATATAAAATTTTGAAAAAAGTGATTTTTTCGCAGAGCTTCGGAATTTCTTATCGGATTATTTTCTAGATAATAAGTAACTTTTTTTTTTTTACCAAAAAACTGCACTTAACATCGCAAATTGTTTAATTCGAGCTCAAAAATATAAGCTCGAAGACTTTATAGTAGGAAATTTTTTAAGCGTTTTAGACTCGAATATAGCAGGAAGTTCCAGGGATGGCCTGTGGGGTCAACCGTTTTTTAAGATTTTTTTTAGTTTTGTACCTCAAAGCTTTTTTATTATCACAGGAACCGTAATTTTTCGACTGTTTTTTTCTGTGAACGAAATTTACTTATATTTCTCTCAAAAATTTATTTTTCTTAGAGTAAGATACGCGATAAAAATTAATCAAACAAAAGTCTTCATTACTTTTCAGAAATTGTTGAAGCAAAATTTTTTTATTTCTACTATCAAGATTGAATATTAAAATAAGAATAGTTATCGATCGAAGAGAAAAATACCAATCCAAGAATGTAGAAATTCAGAAAATAAATTTTTTAATCAAGTTAGTTTTTCTATCGATGAGGTAATTGTAGGCAAGTAAGCAATTAATTATTGCAGAAAGATTAAATCTAGTTACCAAGACAAAAAAAAACGATCTGAATGTTTAAACTTATGTTACTAGCTTACGATGAAACTTTGCATTAGGATGTCATTATTTTATAAAATGTGTTGCTTGTGTGACTTGAAGCATTGTGATTTTTAATAACGTATTAAAATATGAACTTAATATTTGCTTGCTAGATGTAGATCTATTATGGAAATTATCGTGACTGTTGAGTATGTATATTTGAGTAGATTTACCAGTGGACGGACGGGTCACAGAAAGACCAGTAGAATGTGACACGGCAAGAACAGAGATGCGTTGCGGAGATGGAAAATGCATTTCTCTTCGTCGCAAGTGCGATGGTATTCCCGATTGTTTAGACAACAGCGACGAACGTGACTGTGGTAAGACGGATGCATTGCTTTGGGACGATTCTGTTTAGTTGGAAAACAATTTCAGATCAAAGCAGTCATTTTTTGCTTGCAATTATTATTTATTTAAGATTTTAATTTATAATTTTGTTTTCTTATTTTTTTTTTTTTTTTTTTTCGCACTGGGGTGCTTTATAAATGCTTATGTCTTCGTTGTACAAAGAAAAATGCGCCATCAACGAATGGAGATGTATAAGTGGTGAGTGTTTACGAGAAAATTTGAGATGTGATGGTCGGGCTCACTGTCGCGATGGATCTGACGAAACAAATTGCGGTAACTATTTATGTGCTTGATTTTTATTTTTTGCAAATATTTTTATTTTTTATGGGTGAATAAAGTTGCTTATCTATTCGAATGCTAAAACTATTGTAGTTAACAAATGTCCAACTGGAATGTTTCGATGCAATGATGGAATATGCCTCGACCAAAGACGACGTTGTGATGGTCGTCCTCACTGCCATGATGGATCTGATGAAATAAATTGCAGTACGAAATATTTATTCATTATTAATAGACACTATTAATAATTATTTTCTTCAATTAATTAATTTAGATATTTCCTCTTTTTAATTGTTAGTTTCTGCTTTTATAACAAAATTATACATACCCGTCGCTTTATTTAGCACGTCGAATGTTCATTCAGGGTTTTCAGGATGTTTCTTCATAATATTAATTATCGAATTAAATAGCAACTGCATGAAAGAATGAAAAATATCACAGATTTACTCGCGTTATCGCGATGCCTGTTACTAATTGTCATTTTGACATTCGGAATGAGTCTTTCGCGTCCTGTCTCGTGTATTATCGAATTTTTTACTATACTGTCTTGTATTTTTATATTTCAGCACTAATTATAATTATTTAGAGGACGATTTTATTGTTGACGACATGTATGATAGACTGGGTTAATAAAATCGACTATTTTCTTTTTTAGGAAAGAATATATTGAAAATATTGTTAAAAATTACGAAAAAATCAATAAAGTCCTTTACAATTTTTTTTTTTTGGTAAATTTTTTATAAGTGTCATTTTTTATAGTTAGTACTCAAAGAATCAATATTAAACAAAAGAAGAATACATATTTTTAAAAGAAATTAAATATCCCGAAAAATGTCTATTTTTTTTCAAATGTTATTCCAATCAAAAATATAGTAAAAATTCAACTTGAGTCTTTAGTAACAATCAAAAAATTTTAAGAATTTTTTGTTCGGAAAATATTCACATTTTTGACAGAAATCTAAGTTTTTTATTTTTTCTAGTCTAACAATTTTTAAGAAAAAAATTTTTTTTTGAAGATAAAAATAAAAAAATTCGATAAATTTGTTAATATTGTTGAGAGTTCAAACTTTAAAATTTTGAACAATATTTTCGGTGTATCGTTTTTAAAAAATTGTCTTTTTTTAGCACAATCTAGTTTATAAATATATAAATATGTAATATTTAAAGGTTCTCGATGAATAATAAATATAAAAATAAATGTGTTAAAAAAATAGTATTGAGTAATAAACTCAACTTAAAAGTTTTTTTAATAAAAAAATGTATCGTTAAAAGTTTGTCATCAGAACGATTTTTGACAAGAAAAAGTTATTATTTTTATAAAGTTTTTATGAATTAATCGTATTTGAACTGTCAATTTATCAAGCGTTGTTAATTAACGTACACTATAGTATACAGTCTACAATGAAAATTTGTATCTTTAATTAAAACATTTTTGCCGCTGATTGTATATCAAAAAGTGTTATCCTATTTTCAAGCTAAACTAATGAAATTTGGTGACAAATTTTTATCGTTAGGAAATATTATTTGAATGAAATTTAATAGCTCTTTTGAACATATTATTTACTGTACACGAGGGTCTTTAATTGCATTTTTAAATATTACTGGCATTCACTGTATTCTTTTCTGTTCATCACTATCTACCTCTTGATCTATTTGAGCACAGGTTGCCTGATTACGTGTACACGATAAATACATTTATACTGGTATAAATAAGTATATAACTGAGTAGCGTAGCTCTTGGTAGAATCATCTGATTATATCTTATAACACTACTATCTTTATGCACACATCTTTTTCCTTTTCACTTTACAGCTCATATTTTCGACCATAAAAAAAAATAATTTGTTTGATTTACTTTGTCTCTTCCTAGCTTAAAGTCGATAACATTTTTCGAGTGCAATCAATAATTGCATGACAAACGGCAATGTGCACGTAAATTTATTTATTTTCAACGATAACTGAACAGACTTAAATTTTTTTATTCACTTTTAAATTATACAAATATTTTTTTATATGATTAATTTTTATTTTTTTATTAATCTATATTTTCATCATTTTTATAAATTTAAGTATCGTGCACATCGCTACTTTGTACATAATTTTTCAGAATCACGTCATTTTTTTAGTATAGAAAATTAATAAAGTCAAAAATAAAAAACTATCATAATCTAACTTTTACAGAAAATACTTCCTGCCCTGAAGGCCAATTACCATGTGCCAATGGTATCTGTATTTCCAAGAAATTTTTCTGTGATCGCCATGTTGACTGTCACGATGGAAGCGATGAAACCAATTGCTGTAAGAAAATTTTATAATTCAACCGGTTGTAAATCAAAGAATTAATTTTTTACTATAAATTTTATAAGAATTGATTACTCGACTGTACACGGAGAAAATTTTATAGTAGAGTTTATTATCTGGTTATGGTAAAATTTATTAACTGAATTCGATAGTAGTAAATATTATTTAAATAATTAAATAAACCATTTGAATTATAGTATTTACCACCCTGATGGTAATTACTACTATTATGATGGTAATCAGTAATAATAACTGTTATTATTGTAGTTAGTTACTACTATTATCAAAATCGTAATTCCTAATATAACCTGATGGTTGCAGTTACCATTAGTAACAATAATAACTACTATTTAAGCTAGTAAAAAATATTTAAAAAATTAAGAATCTGCGTTACCGTGGATGCATTTTTGAATAAACTAAAAGCAGCTGTAGTGCAGTGTAGTGCACAAAAAATCGGGATTACATTCGGATTGAAATTATATTTATAAATTTTTATTTGTCTAAAACAAGTTTCAACGCCAAATTTTTCAATAAATTTAAAATTAAAAAAAAAATTTTAATAAAAAAAAAAAAAATTTTTAATCAAAAAAATCAAATTAAAAAAAAAAAATTTTGAAGGAAATTTAAAATATTTTAATATTTCAAAGAAAAAAAAGTACATCAGCTAAAATATGGATTTAAATAAAGGATTTAATTAAGTAAATTTATATTTTTTTTTCTTTCAGAATTTTTACAATCTGAGATGATTACAGTTACCATCTTTAATTTTAACAGTTATAATTTATAATAAGTACAATTATTATTTTCGATAGTAGTCGTTACCATTATTAATAGTAACTATTACAATTGTCAATGATAACACCTATTATTTTATAACTAATTTATTTTATTACCATTTTAGATAGTAGGAGTACTATTTTTGTATAGTAGGTAGTATAATTAATTTTTCTCCGTGTATAGGAATCAATTCTTTCAATTTCACTCGATTCGTAAGTTTGAATTTCAAAATCAAAATTGAAGTCATCAAACAATGGATTTTTTTATAAAAATTATTTTTATATAATATTAGACGACCCGGTGAACTTTGTATCACCTACATATATTTGTGAACAGTATGGTCAAACTTTGATACAAAATTTTTATTTACATTAAATGCAACACAGTTATACACTTAATCAATTTGAAGTTTTCTGATGTACTATATTTTTTGTCTCTCTTTGTGGTGCGTATACATATAAAGATGATAGTTTTCCGACTCGCGAACACGTGACGTATAATTGCCCATGCGCGAAACAGGGAAACAAAGTTGATTCCGCAAATTTTCAGCGATTAGCCTTGCGATTTATTTACGGTCGTCAGTGTGGTATGAACGTGAGGTAGCTCGTCGCACATTTGATTGACTTCGACGACTTAAGTCAGGTCGTCTTTCCTGGGTATTTTAAAATAACAATAATAAAAAAAAAATTCTCGCGCACTGACAAACTAACGATAGATTTTTTTAATTGTCTTGAAATTTATTTATTTTATTTTTTTGACAACTAAAGGACACTTTTTTTTTTATTTCTGAAATAAAACAGACCAGTAATACCGGACCTCATTTCACAGATAGGAACATTTTGTATTGGAAAACTAAATTGTCGTTTTTAGTATTTTCTGTTACATATTATTTATGTTTCTCACCGTTTAAACCTTCCCTAAACTTCCAAAAATATTTCAAGATCAAAATTAGCCAAATCGGTGAAGCTATTCTTGAGCTTTAGGAAGACAAACAAACAGGAATTGATTTTTATACAAATAGATAGATTTAACTGGGAAATGACAAAATGAAATGAGGTAAACCTAAAAATTCGTATTGAAAAATCAAATTATAACTCAGGTTTCTGTTTTTAAAGATTTTATCGATTTTTAGATTTTTATTTTAGTTTTTTAAGACTTCGTGTATATGTATTAGACATGTAAAATATTGATTTTTCTTACAGCTGAAACTTCACCGCGTCCACCTGTAAAAGAATGCAACAATTATGAATACACTTGTCGAGATCGTTCATGCATACCGTTGTCAGCAGTATGTGATGGTCGTCCAGATTGTTCATACAATGAAGATGAACAGGATTGTCACAGTTAGTAATTTCTATACTCTATAATTTTTCAATTAATTTAAAAAAGAATAATTTTTTTGTAATATACAATTAATTAAAAAAAGTTTTTTTAAAAAAACTACAATTAGAGTAATAGGTATATCAGAGTGTCCAATATTTACGAAATTTCCTTGTTGTATCTAGATGCACAGTAAAAAATATTGTGTAAAATCAACACACTTTGTGTTAAATTAACACAAATTTTATGTTAAAATAACACTAATTTTGTGTGGACCGTATTTAACACAATATTTTTTACTGTGTGTCTTTTAGATTATATCTTGGATTCTCAAACAAAAGTAGTTACTTGAAAATCGAAAAATTGTAAGTCATAGTACATATCGTGCTAAAATCTAGACACAACTGACCTCGCTAAATAAAAGATAGTTGCAATTAAAATTTATACTTTTTTTAGCAACCGAGCAAATCATAAATTTTTATTATTTCAATATTAAAAAAATATGACCATCTATATGAAAAACTCAAATTTTATTCAGAAAATATGCTGCTTTCAATTCATTAAATTTTAATAGATATTCCATTTTTTTCCTAAATTTTTTTTTCTCTCCGTTGTCTTTAATTCAATTAACCCTCACCGATCTCTCTGGGATGTGCCAACTTAATTATGCATAAAAAGGACTTAATATCTTCATTTTACCACAGCATTCACTTATCGATATTTCAAAAATGAACTATTCGTTATTATGTTTAAAAGCTTTATTCTTCTTTTCTACTATTCAGAATATTCATTGATAATAAACAGATTTTTTTTTTCGATCACAACTAAGCTCGAATATAGCGAATTGATCATTATCAATTTTAAGCTTTCCGGGATAAAATTTTTTTTGTTGCTTTTGAAAGTAAAATTAAATAAAATTTTGTGTTGTAATTATATAAAACTTATTGTGAAAATTTACCTTTTAGATCATTCAAATTATACACGATTGATTCAACTTTTTTTTCATAAATTGATGCAGTATTTTTATAATTCTACATGCTATTTTTTTCTATTTTCATAATTTTATATAAAAGTAGCAGAACTTAAACGTGAAATATGAACAAAACCATTAATTCCAAGTAGTTAATAAAATATAAATTGAAAATTAATACGTAATGATTATCAGTAATACAAGTAACATCTTTATGAATTTTATCTTTTTCCATTTTTCTGCGAGATATCATCAATTTATGAACGAAACTTGTAATTAAATATATTTATTCCATAATTGTTCCATTTCTTAGATTCCATAATTAAATTCGATTGTGTACTAAGCGAAACAGCCGGATATTTACTAGTTTCATATAATAATGTACACTAATAGAAAATTCAACTTTATTCAAGAGAAGAAATTTTGAACTAATAACATAATTTTAAACAGTTTCATCACCTTGAATCAAAACGAAGAATTCTTTATAGTCAACTTTACTTAAACCAAAAAAAATTTCTCTGTTCAAGAATTTTTCTGTCTGGTTCATGACGATGAAACTCTGCAGAATGGTTTTTTTGGGTCAAGAATTTGTCTCTTGAATCAAATGCATGAAAAAATTGTATTATTGAGTTAAAAGAGATTAAAAATATCTAAAAACCCATATTTTCAAGCTTAAAAGGCTCGATAACTCACTAATGGCTATACCATTTATATTTTCAATAATTTGTACCCCTTTTCTCAAATTCAATCGCTTCTCGAACTTAAAAAAATCACATTAACTGTCGTAGTAAAACAAATTCTGTCTAAAATAACAATTTTGCGAAAGTAATGTCGGAATTATTTTCAATTTTTTATTTATAAAGAACTAAATCAATTTCGTTGCAACCAAACGTCAAATCTCGAGATGACATTGTATAGCAGTCAGATATGTACATCCAATATGCAATCATAACACGTTCTTCTCTCATGTTCCTTTTGTTACCACTTGAAGTTTTGTCGTGCTTAGTTACTGAAATACTTTGATTGTTCAGCTTGCTTTAACAGAACAGAACCATCATTCGTATTATTGTTTTTTTAATTACAATTTATATTTTTTTCCCGTTTATGATTTTTATTTATCATTTTAGTCACATCTGTAGATTATTTAAGTTTATATTTAAAACATAGTTAATTTATAATTCCTGACCGTTATAGTTATTGATTATTTTTAACTATTTTACAGTATATGTTTATGTGTTTTCGTTTGCACTGATATCTTTATTTTTTATCCGGAAAAAATTTTATAGCCCAAATTCTAATTAGACACGATACAATTTTGTTTCGGGAGTCATTTGAGGACTCAATCGTTTTCTAGATTTCTTTTGGTAAAACTAATAATTTGAAAAGCGCTTAAGTCAACGAAATATGGGACACTCTTATGTATACTATAATTAATCTTATCTCTTATCTATAATAAATATTAACAATTGCATTTTAATCTTTATGAATGAATGATGAAGTAACAGAACAATAACCAACACGGTGGTGCGTATACTTGGGTTACTTCTAGGTTTAGATGCGACTTCACATAAAAGCTCATCAACTATGTGGAGTCCAGGAAGTATGGCAAAACTTCAGGATAATGTGAATTTTACTTCGTCGAAGAGTTGCGCTGTGGGAAATTTTGTTTGTGCTGATGGCACATGTATTCCCGTGGCTCACCGATGCGATAATTTTTATGATTGTCGTGACTTTACCGACGAACAATTCTGTTTTGGTTAGACTTTTGAGTCTACATTATATTTACTTGAAAGTTTATTTTAATCGTTGAAATTTTTATTTGTAACTATACGTATATTCTTTTACAAGTACTATTCATCGATGTTATAGCGTTACATCTAATAGATCAGATAATACGTAGGCCATTGGTGTATGAGTAGAATATTGAGTATACGTCTCGCAGTTATTCTACTGAAGTATTTAGTAGTGCATCTTTGCCTGGTATATTATATAAATATTATATATTTATATATATTATGATAATTAGAATTATTTAATTTGGTTTTAAGTTGTTCCCGCTCATTAATAGTGATTACATAAAATAATTGTTTAAGGTATCATCATCAGTAATGAGAGTAGACGTTTTTCTAAGTACTTGCAAATTTTAAATATAATTGTTAAGGTGGTACAGAAAAGCCGACTATTCTCATTTTTTGAGTCCTCAGCCGAAATATATTAGTTTGTTGTTATAAAAGCTCTTTCTAAAAATTAGCTCAATACGAAATTTTCTACGGATCGCTTAAAAACTATCAAAAATTGAATTTTTATTTGCTCCTTATTCTATTCATTTTTAGCTAAAAAATTATGTACATTATGATAATTTTAAATCTAAATTTTGATATTTAGAAGTTTCTTAAATTTTTTTAACGTCCAAACATGCCGAATAATTATTTGTTAATTAGAATTTAATAACAATAATTGTTCGTTTATTTTTATTCTTCATTATGTCAACTTGGTCGAAAAAATTAAAAGTTTGTAATTTTTAAATGGGCTGATTTTTTACGCTTAAAACATGATAAACTAATATATATCCATAGGAGATAAAAAAAAAAAATAATCGGTTTTTTACACTCCCCTAATGGTTGTATTATTAGTTTAGTGTACTATTTGCCTAAAACGTTGGTATTAATTTTTTCAGTTTAATACAAATATGAGCTTTTAAATTTATTCTATTGTGACAGTTTTTCAATTATTTTACTTATTTTTTTTTAAATATAACCATGACGTAACAGAGATACAGGTCCTAAAAATCGCATATTTTTATCCCCGGACAAAATATCTTCAGATTAAATTTCTATTACTATTTTTTTTTATTTCCTTATCATATTTTCGATGAGAATTAAAATTTTTTAAAAATATCAATTTTATCAGAAGAGTTTGTGCCTCATTGATTATTCATCAAATTTATTTATATATTGTTATTTCTATTATGTTTCCTATTAAATTGCAATAAAAATAAATTTAAAAAATCAATAAATAATCCTTTTCAATAAAGTAATATTTTAAATGGCTAAAATATTAGAACTTGTTTAGCTAAATATTGATTTGCTTGTATGGATTACTTTCAGGTATTAATATCAATAAATTACGAAGTTCGGATAAAGTTCAGAAAATTTTCAATAAAAAAATGTAATTTTAAATAATATCCCAATATTGTGATTTTACTCTGATCAATTAATTGAAGAAATGAGCAGGGTTTTCTTTTAAATAAATGATATTTTGTCCGAAGATCAAAACATAAAATAATGAAAATAAATTTATATTTTTTTTACGCCAATTTAGTATGTGTGATTAAAATTTGCAATCATGTACATACAAAAATTACTTTTATAATATGTATTTGCATTATTACTTATATCATTTTTGAATACTTATGAAGGTTGATTAAGATAATGAAAACAAATTTTTAATAATTATTTACAGCTTTCTTTAATTTCTTGATGTATATCATTCTTCATGATTCATGTATCTGTAATGAAACGAATAATAATTTTTTAGTATCATCGCAACATCCTTCACTTGAGTGGTAGTTCGTTCTAGTATGATTTACGTGCTAGTTTGCAATTTACATTGTTAAGTTTTAATGCCGTTGGTATATTTCCCGTGAAAATTGATTATTTTATGTTTGTTAAAAAATTTATTGGTATCTATAATTAATTATTTATTGTTATTGTAATAGTAAAAATATTTTTTCTTCATCCGTAGGATGCGCTAAAGGTCAATTTAAATGCAATAATGGTGATTGTATTTCCGGAGACCAGAAATGCAATGGAGTGATTGATTGTGATGACGGTTCAGACGAGGATGGATGTGGTAAGTAATTGTGATTATATCTGAAATAAATTAAATAAACATTAACATTAAGGTTAAATAATTTCTTGATTTATTCATTTTTATTTTTAAAAATAGAATCATCTACTTCGCCATCTGAGCATCATAATCATCATCCTCATTATTGTCAAGCAGGACAATTTACATGTTTGTCGGACAGAACATGCGTTCATAATTCAGCTCGTTGTAATGGTATCCCTGAATGCAATGATAGATCTGATGAAAATAATTGTGGTATGTAAATTTAATTATTGTTGATTAACAATTTCTCATTTATTTATTATTCTTCGAAATCGGATTTTTTTTTTTCAGATACTGAAGAAAAAGGAGAACTTAATTTAAAGACTTATCCAAGTGACCAAATTATTAAAGAAAGTGAGTATATTATTAATAATATTTAAAATTATCCGATATTATTATTTTATTACTTTTATCGATAAAAGTTAATTGTTGCTGTCCCAATTCAAAACAGATTACTTTTAAAACACGAAACAATCTAAAGTTTTTTAATTGATACATTTTCTATTTGTAAATCGAATTTTTTTATTAATTCAGTATGGAACCGATTTTCTTATAACGCGAGCTCGAAAAAATGTCAGTGAATGTGTTTTAAAATGGACCAGCCAAATTATATATGGTTAATACACTATTTAAAATTAGATAATGGTGCCGCGACTAGATAACCGCGGACAAAATAACCGAAGATAAATAAACCGTGGACCAAATAACTACACGGAAAAAAGTAAATTGTAATAAATAACAGTCGATTTATAATAAGTAAATAAATATTAAACATTAAAGCTTAATACTGAGCTCGAGTCTAGCCACCAGCCATTTACTTACTAACTAACTACTTCAGGATAAGGCAACTGATAAGAATAAGAATAAGAATATTACCACTACGAAAGAATTATTCCAGAAAGTGGCATTCGATTTCTACCGATGATTAAATGAAAATAAAATTACAGTGCTGGTTAGGAGAACCGACGAATCACAAGAATAACAACAGATTGTTTTTCAAATGAATTTTTTTTTTTTTTTATTATTTTTATTCATTTATTTATTTTTTTGCGGTTAATTGAGCTCGTTATTTTTCTACTCCATCGAGAAACTAACCAGCTAGAAATAAACACTCTGCGCTTACAATATACGTCACGGTACCAGTCGCAAGGCATTTCAATCAAATTATCTTACTTAATAATTATTTTATTATTATTATATTCAAAAAAATTATTATTAATAAATAATAAACTAATTTATTTAACCAAGTTTTGAATTTTTAAACTCCAATTTAAAATTCTGGATCAAATATTGAAAAAATTATATCAGACCTTTTTTATAGGAAATTTAATTTCCTACAAAAAAGAAAGAGGTCTTATCAATTTTGCACTATTTCGCTTTTTTTTCTTCAAAATTTGAATTTAAAGGTGAAAAACAAAGTTATAGATCTTGTCAGTAATTTTCAAAAGTTTAAAGCGGAATACCAATGTGACGGTCGAAAAAAAAGGTGATTTTCGGGAATTTTTTTGATAGGGAAAATAAAGGAATTTGGGAATCGGTTTTTTTTTTTTTATTTTATTAAGGGTACATTAAAGATGATTACGCTAAATTTTTATTGAAAAATATTTAATTATTACAAAGTTATTAACAATCTCGTCGAGCACTGGAGAAAATTTCCCCCCTCCACGGTCGGTTTGATGACTCAAAAACAAATCATCTGAAATTAAAAACTCAAATTCCTTTTTAATCAGTAAGGATGTAGTTATCGTCGCACGTACGGAATTAAAAAAATTTTTATTTTAAAGATTTTTTTAGCCGGGTTAAAACAAAAAAAAACAAGAAAATTTTCAATCACCATTTGTTTGAAAATAAAAATTTTCAAAATTCCGTACGTGCAACGATAACTACATCCTTATTGATTAAAAAGCAATTTGGGTTTTTATTTTCAGATCCGTTTTTGAGTTATCGAACCGACCATGGAGGGGGAAATTTTTTCTAGTGCTCTACGAGATTGTTAATAACTTTGTAATAATTAAATATTTTTTAATAAAAATTTAGCTTAATCATCTTTAATGTACCCTTAATAAAATAAAAAAAAATCCGGTCCCCAAATTCCTTTATTTTCTCTGTCAAAAAAATTCCCGAAAATCACCTCTTTTTTTCGATCGTCACAGTGGTGTTCCCCCTTTTAAGTTCTGTAATATTTATATTTTTGCCACCCCGATGTCCGCTTTACTGTTTGAAACTATAAAAATTAACCGGAATCCGAGTGAATATTATAATATTGATATATACAGTTGTATAACTGTATACAGTTTACTTTTTAGTTATTTACTATTCTTTTAGTTATTTTGTCTGCGGTTTTTTTTTTTGATATGGCGCCCTATTTTTCCTACTTTTTTTATACGTTTTGATAAAAGTTGAAAGTAGTTTTTTCTGTTAAAACATTTTCGTAATTTCAAGTATGACTTAGAGTGATATTTGTCGGGTCTGAAGTATATCTTTTTATGAAAAACAATACTTTGAATACTTTTTAGGCACGAGTATCGAAAAATTCTCTCTAATCTCTCTTTTTTATCTTCCCTCTTTAATTTTTAACACAGATCTTTAAAATACTCTTTTACCATTACTAAAATCGCTTGCTAAGTAACACGCTAAAATCTAAAGATAACTTAAAACTTACATACACCGACACACGCAAATAAGTTTAACGTTAAACTTATAATGTCAATGATATGTATAATTATTAAATTAAAGACTACATCCAAATGTGGAATTCTTTCGAATAAGATACGAATTGAGCTAGTCTAAGTTCGGAAAGCCAAGTTCGCCCCGAACTGATTCTTCGACATGCCTCGCTAAAATTCTAGTCGGGTCGCTGCTCGCGATGCCCCCCTCCCCCGCTACTATCTTCTTCACGATATATTATACCGCAAAGAGTTTTATTAACATATATATACTGATACGAAATTAAACCAACACTAAATGGTGTAAGCTGAGTATATTTTTAATTCATCATCAATATCAAATTCGATTCTAATGTCATTCAAAATAATCTACATTTAGTTTAATATTCACGAGTTTTAATATTAAATATTAAGAAATTGACTTTATCAATCCATTTTTCGTGGGTTAAAATAATATTATATTAAATTATTGGGTGGAAGTATATTTAAAATGAATATGGCATAATTTTGAAAATAGAATGGCTTCTTGTACCGTAAGATAGAAGATTATTCGAATTTTATAATATAAAATTGATGACTAAAATGAATTTAGTTTTGTATCGATATTATATCAATAATAATCGAAAAAGTGGCCCTTGATTCCTTATTGGTTCAGGATTAGAGCACGCGAAATTTGAATTCCTAGTTCTTATCAAATATTCGTAGTTTCTATTGCTAATGAATTATAACCATGTTTTGAATATATAAAAATGATCAATTTGTAAAAAAAAATTTTGTATTATTTCTCTGTTTCTTGCTTTGAACAGATCCGGAAGGAAAAGGTAAGGTTTTTCTAATAAAGAAATCTAATATTGCGTAAAAAAATATTCAAAAAATTTTTGATAGCCCTGTGAAATCAGAATAGCTTCTTAAAAGCAAGACATTTAAGTATCCTCCACAAATTAAAATTTTTCTCATCGAACTGATAAGTAATTTTCTTCCTCATATTTAATTACTATAATGAAAAATAACAATTGATTATTTCAAATATTTAATATGTTCACTGATAGAAAAACAATCTTGATTCAAAAAACTTGTTTTCTTCAAAACTTGAACTCTTGAAACTAGATATAGATATATTTCTTTCAAGAATTTTTGTCTCTTGGTTCAAGATAGGCGATAACATTGATTCAAGATGTTACCGACTTGTGTTAAGAATGGCTTTTTTTTTGAGTCATTAATTAATTTACTTATTTCTAAGAAATAATTATTTTTTGGTATAACAATTAAAGACTATTTAGTTTTTGAATTATACTTTGATGAATTATTTTAAGTGTTTTAAACGATAATGTTATTTTGATTGAAAAACTTAAATGTATCGATTGAAGATAATATAGCTCTTAAGCCAAGAAAATCTAAATCAAGACAAGAAATTCTTAGAACAAAATAATCATTTGTCTTCCAAAATAAATTCTTAGATCAAGAAAATATCTCTTGAGTCAACATAAATTTTTTATCAGTGTTGAATTATGAGACGAATGTTCAAATCCATATTAAATATTCGCTGACGTAATTGCTAATGGCAATTTATCAAATATGTATTTTGTTATATACATAGAATGAAAATTTAATCATACATTTGAGAATTAATAAAAAAAAATTAATACATAGTTATAAAATTGTAATGATACTGATAAATACAATAGCAATGTTGAATTTATTTAATAAAATTTTGTATTTTTTCTTTGTTTCTTGCATTGGCCAGATCCGACACGGCAAGGTAAGGCTTTCCTAAACGAAATAATTTTGGGAATCATAATACGAGTGCGCTATATGATATCATTATTCATCATAGTTGTTAATAATAAAAGAATTAATTACTTTATAAAAATACCAAAATCATATAAATAACATTATTAAGCCATGGTGATAATAATGGAAACTTGTTTTATGAAGATATCATTAACTGACTAATGTGTTCGTTTAGAGTTAAAATAATTTCACGCAGAAAATTTTACATTTATAATCATTATTACAATAATCAAAGATACCGAAGCAAAATGAAACATTTCGTCAAATCTCAAAACGTTTGTAATGGCTGAAAAGTCAATATTTGCTAAATTTTTATTTCATCAAGTGAAAGTTCCAATTTTCCTTCTTCCAAATACAGTGAAAATATATTTTAGGACATAAAAATAAAATTTCTTTTTTTAAGAACTGTTTTCTATGTTGCTCCAAAGATTTGTGAAAAATATGGTGGTTCGGTTTGCTTCGGGTTCCTTTTTATAGTTGCATGAGTCTTCATCCATGACAGTTATTCGCCAAAAAATAATATCCCTGGCGTAACAAAAAATACTGAAAATAACATCTTATCATAGCAATGACATTTGAAAGATAAAATAAAATTATTACGGATTAGTACGGAAAACTTTATATAATTGGAATAATTTTATAATGTACCTAGAAATTTTTATAACTGTATAATTGACGTTTGATCTAGTAAATTCATTTAGAATCCCACACGAAATTAATTACAAATAATAATACAATGACGAGGTTACTATTTTTTGCTATAAAAAAATCAAAAAATGAACTTTTAAAAGTGTAATCAATCTAAAATATCATGGGTTGCATGAAAACGTAAAAGAATAGTTGAATTGCCGAATATTATAATGTTTTGTAAAAAATATCTTGTCTGGAGACGAACACTCGAGCGACTTGCCATATAACTTTATGCACTATTCATAATAATTTACTAAGTTTTTTTTATTATTTTGACAGACTCCCATGTAACAGCCTTATACAAGTTCTGCATAAATTTTTTCAGCATTAAAATAGGTTCTGCTTCTTCATTCAACGGAGAATCTTGCTTAAAAAACTTATAAAAGCTTTGATCTAAAGAATTCTTTCAGTACGATTTGCTAAAGAAAATTGTTAAAGAGTTAATTTGAAAAATTACACAAATTTATTCTAAATAAATTATTTGGTTGATGTATTATTTCTTAAAATTGTGAGCACTATAAATGCAGAAAACTTAAACAAGAAACATCCGAAAGACACAGACACATAGCTTACAGCAGAGTTGAGAAAGATGTCTCAAATTACGTCTCACTATATACTGTCTTTTGCCTACTTTTTTTATATTTCATATGAATCTTTCTATCAGTTCTGGACATCACTAAACTACTTTATCGCAACCAGAAAGTTAATGAAACAGAGACAGTTATACAGTAAGATGTAACTTGAAAAATCGTGTGCCATTCTGCTGCACACCATGCGTCTGCATTTTTGAAATATTCCTTGCGAAAGTCTTTCGGATTCTTCGTACGCATGATTTTCAGAAACTATTTAACAATTTATTTCTAATATTGAATGAGCATAATTCTTGAGATTAAGGGGGTATTCTGGTCTAGAGCATGAAGTATCAGGTAATTTTTAAAGTGCCATAAAAAAAGACCCTCCCACTTCATCAACTGCTAATTTTTTGAATTTTGTGCAGTGAATTTTTCCAAATTTGCAATAGGATTGTGGTGTTAAAGTAATCTTGCACAAACCTGTAACAATTCTGATAGAAAAACACTCATTACAAAAAATACTGTTACCTTATATGCAACTGATCAAAACCTGATACCAAAAAATTCATATTGAAACTCAAATTTCTATTTCAGGACCCAGTTTCTAATTTCATTAAATTTTTTCATTGTAAATTTTGATATATTATTAATCATGTAATTTTTTTGGGTGTGTATTATATATACAATTGTATAAAATTCATTACCAGTATTCATTAAACAGGTACTTACATCGACAAATATTTTTCATGGATCGGTGGAAAAATTATTTTTGCATAGCATGTAAATTGCGCTGACTAACCTTGTATAAAGTATGTACCAGATAATTAATCATAATTTTTCTGATTTAATTCAGGTTATGAAGTTGTATTCCACTGTCGAGACGAAGGATATCTTCGAGCTGATGTACGATGGCTGCGTGGAAATAATTTACCGCTGCCACCTGGATCTCGTGATATCAATGGCCGCTTGGAAATTCCCAACATTCAAGTGGAACATTCTGGTCCTTACATTTGCGAAGCCGTTGGATATCCTCCATCAGTACCAGGACAGAGAGTCACAGTACATCTAGAGGTCGAGAAATTTGAGCCGGCAACTGTCCGACCTCCGCAAGTCTGTAAATACGATGAAGCAACTTGCAGTAATGGTGATTGTATTTCAAAGAGTTTAGTTTGCGACGGTAAATTTGATTGTACTGATGGTTCTGATGAAATGCGATGCAACCCACATGGATGTGAGCCGAACCAATTCCGTTGTTCAAACAAGCAATGTGTTAGCAAAATTTGGCGCTGTGATGGTGACAAAGATTGTACTGATGGAAGTGACGAAGAAAATTGTGGTACATCACCACCTGGATCACCTTGTCAATACAATGAATTTAAATGTAGTCAGTATGATCAGTGTATTCCAAAGAGCTATCATTGTGATATGGAAAGAGACTGTCAGGATGGTAGCGATGAGATTGGTTGTTCACCAGTATACATTACGAAACCGCCTATTCCAATGGTTGTTCTTGAACCAGGTGACACTATGATTCTTGTATGTACCGCGATTGGTGTGCCTATACCTGAAATAAATTGGCGTTTGAATTGGGGCCATATCCCTGAAAAATGTAACTCTGAATCAATCAACGGTACTGGAACACTTACTTGCCCTGACATTGGTGTATCTGATCAGGGAGCGTATTCATGTGAAGCTATCAATATAGGAGGATTTGTATTCGCGGTCCCAGATACGATTCTAGTTGTTGAAAAGACATCTGCAGTTTGTCGAAAGGGAACTTTTAACTCGGAAGCACGCCACCCAGATGAATGTATTTCTTGTTTCTGCTTTGGAGTAGCCACTGAATGCCGAAGCGCTAATTTATTCACATATCACTTTCCACCACCTTTTGATCGCCATAAGGTTTTATCTGTTGACATATCATCAGTCAGTCCAATAATCCGTGGTGAATTAAGTAGCCAAATGTTAGAAGTACTGCCAATTGGTCGAGATGGTGTAGATATTTCAGTTCCTTATTCCAATGAATTAAGCTCCTATGACATTCCATACTTTGCTTTACCAGAAGTTTATCACGGCAGTCAATTGAAATCTTACGGTGGATACCTAAAATACAATATCCGTTACAGTGGTGATGGAAGAAATAACACCGCTCCATCGATTATTCTTAAAGGAAATGGTAATTTATTAATTCACAGAAGCCAATATCTTGTTCCTAATCAAGACACAGAAGTAGCTGTGAGATTTTTCTATGGCGAGTGGTATAAGGTAACTGATGGGTATGAAAGATTAGCTACTAGAGAAGATATTATGATGACTCTTGCCAATGTAGAAAATATACTCATCAAAGCTAAGTACGATGATTCACCACAATTGGAGATTTCTATTACCGAAATTGTAATGGACACTGCTGACTCTAGAAATACTGGATTAGGAAGTGCTTCTTATGTTGAAGAATGCTCGTGTCCAACCGGTAGTTATGATTTTTTAGTTAAAATGATATAATTGTACATTAAATTAAGTCTTGAATGGACATTATTGCATAAAATTTAAATTATAGGATACAGTGGTTATTCTTGTGAGGATTGCGCTCCTGGTTATCGCAGACGTAAGAGTGGGCTATGGCTAGGTGAATGCACCAGTGAAAAAGACATGGGATCTTGTCCTCCTGGTTACTACGGAGATCCAGTTCGAAACATTCCGTGCTTGCAGTGCCCATGTCCATTGACAAATCCTTCCAATCAGTAAGTTTATAATTTTTCATTGATAAGTTTTCATAAGTAATTTTTCAATATTGTTTGTTATTGATTGAATAGTTTCCAAATTGGCCAATCGTTTAAATTTATTAATTTAAAATATTTATTACAGATTCGCTCGAACATGCAAACTTGGTTCCAACAATCGGCCGATCTGTGACTGCCCTCCTGGATACACTGGAGAGAGATGTGAAAGGTGTTCGGTTGGTTATCATGGAAATCCAATTATTCCTGGTGACATGTGCGTACGTGATCAACAATGTGATCCTGACGGAAGTTTCACAACTTCTTTAGACGTTGATGGAAAATGTCGATGCAAGGTATACAAAAGTTTTATTATGACAAAGTATAATATTTTAATAATAAAATAAACATTTTTTTATACTTTTCACTGCTTTCATATGTATATGTATAAAATTTTTTTTTTTGGATTATGGTATTTGAGTAAGTATATGTATGAAAGTTATCATTATTAATTATTTGAAAAGATTAGAATCCAAGGGTAATAATTTATTTATTTATTATTAATTATTTAATTTCAATGCCAAGGCAGTATAGCCAAATGGCAAAAGTATACAAAAAAATTAAGAAAACGGTTGACCCTAAAGGCCATCCCTGCAACTTCCTGCTCATTCCATACTTAAGCGCTCAAAATTTCACTTATTCCGTTTTTAAGCTCTTCGAGCTCTAAATATAATTTTCGTGTCATTTTGAGCTCTCCGAGCTCAAAAATCTGATAGAAGTTTAATAAAACACCATTTTTTGAATTTTCAAACTGCAATAACTTTTGAATGAATAAATGAAGCGATTTTTACGCGGTTGGCGGCTTTCGACGTATTTTTTTGAAACCCTATAAAGAATCTTCAAGTTTAAATCGATCGAGTCAAGAATTTCGAAGTAATTCCGAAAAAACACTTTTTTCGGTTTTCTTTCGACAACGATAACTCACGAACGAATCAACCGATTTTGACCGGGCTTGCGGTGATCGACGTGGTTTTTTGATTTTAAGAGCTGATTAGATTTTGGAATTGATCGATGAAGCCATTTAAAAGTAATTTCAAAAAATTTTTTTTGGTAGTTTTTTTGAGATTTCTCAAAATCTACTGATTCGAATCGGTCCATATAGTATTCAAAATCTAAGTTTGGTCAAGCCCTTTCGAGTAGCGTCAACCGCGATGAAATCGGTCAAACCGAGATTTTTGAAAATTTTCAATTTTCTTAGCGGAAAGTTAAAAATTCTAATAAATTACACTTTAGAATAATGAAGATATAAAATTTTAGATATTAAGAAAAAATTAATTAAAAAAATCTTAAATTTGAAATGTAGTTATGATAAATACAAGAAAAGTATAAATTTGAATATAAAAATTAAAAATTAAAGAGTTAAACTCAGTGGTGCAAAAACGATGATAAACTCATGTAATAAAAATATGTGAATGAATATCAATAGTTTAAAATTAAGATTCATTGTCGGGTTCATGCTTCATGAAGAATTCAAAAGCATATAATTAATTCAAAATCAATTAATCATAGATAATAAAAAATTGCTATTTGTATATACCATGCATTTTAATACCACAAAACGTGATTCTAAACTCTTCAATTTTAATGTATATTGATAAAATTTCAATTTCTGTGACTTGACTGAATAAAATTAAAATAAAATGAAATGTTTAATTACTACAGCAATATGCAACTGGTTTAACGTGTGATCAATGCAAGCCAAATACATTTAACTTAGCTTCAAAAAATCAATTTGGATGTATAAGCTGTTTCTGTATGGGAATAACCGATCGATGTGTAGCTTCTAATTGGTTTAGAAATGAAGTAAGATTTTCTATAACTACAATCCATCAAACTGTTTTTAAAAAAACTTAATCACAATAATAATAATAATAATAATAATAATAATTTATTATTTTAGATTCATGTTTCTTTCACTAATTCTATTCGAGACTTTTCATTGATTGAGTCATCGAATCCGAATGCATCAGCAATGGTTTCAGGAATTCGTCTTGACTCAAATAAACGAGAAATAATCTACGATGATTTCCCTAACCGAGGAAAAGGTGACGTTTATTACTGGCAGCTTCCTAGCATATTTTTGGGTGACCAAGTAACATCATACGGTGGCAATCTAAAATATGCTGTAAGATCAGTACCATCTCCTGGTGGACAAAGTTCAAAAAATAATGCGGCTGATGTCGTATTAATAAGTGCCAATAATATTGACTTATTGTATTACTCAAAAGAATCGCTGGAGCCTAACATCTTGCAATCATTCACTGTTCCGCTATTAGAACAGTTTTGGCAGCGAAGAGATGGTCGTCCTGCTAACAGAGATCATTTACTGATGGCGCTAGCTGATGTTGAAACGATAAGAATTAAAGCAACCTACACTTCATACACTGATGAAGCTGCATTATCAGAAGTATCACTGGACACAGCTGAAAAATACAACACCGGAAAAGAGCGTGCTGTTGAAGTTGAAGAATGCAGCTGTCCTGTTGGTTACACCGGACTCTCTTGTGAAGATTGTGCTGTTGGATATACCCGTGCCAGTGAAGGTCTTTATCTTGGTACTTGTGAACCCTGCAATTGCAACGGACACTCTACTCATTGTGACCCAGAAACTGGAGCTTGTGAAAATTGTGGTGATCATACAACAGGAGATAACTGTGAAATTTGTGAACCCGGTTATGAAGGTAATGCGACACAAGGAACATCTGAAGACTGTCGACGATCCGGTGAAACGCTACCTACAAGGTGTAATTGCAATCCAGCTGGTTCACAATATGATCAATGTATTAACGGACAATGTACATGTAAATCAAATGTAGAAGGACTTGACTGTAATCGCTGTAAGCCTTCTACTTTTGGACTGTCATCAGAAAATCCAAATGGATGCAACGAATGTTTCTGCAATGGTGTAAGCAATCAATGTCACGAGAGCTCCTTGTATTTGCAGCAAATTCCTTCATGGTTTATCGATTCTCACCATGGCTTTACTCTCACCGATGCTTCACGATCAGACACCATTGATGATGGATTTGATATTAATGTTTTAAGTAATGAAATTGGTTATCATTATACGCGAGCCAATCGTAATCGTAGACTATTTTGGTCATTGCCATCAACCTTTACCGGGAACAAAGTTAAAAGTTATGGAGGAAATTTAACTTTAACTCAGAGATTCAGCGCACATCATGAATCCAAGCCTCTGAAGGATCAAGATGTAATGCTCATTGGTAATGGTATAACACTTTATTGGGTTAATTCGCGAGAACCATCTCCTAATATATCTATGACTTACACCGTGCCACTGAGAGAAACAGAATGGCGAAGATTATCCACCGAAGGCCCTAAAAGTGCTTCAAGATCTGATTTAATGGTTGTATTGTCAAATCTGGAAACTATTCTGGTTAGAGCGTCATATAGTGAAGGAATGATTGCTTCTTTTATAAGCGATATCAGTCTAGATACAGCTGTAGAAAATCTTACTGGCAATAGAAGAGCTACTCAAGTAGAAGCTTGCCGATGTCCTCAAGGATACAGCGGTACTTCTTGTGAGTCTTGTGGTCGGGGATATTATCGTAATTCCACTGATAGATCAGATAGTATTCTTGGATCTTGTAGATTATGTCCATGCAATGATCATGAAGAAAGTTGTGAATTAATTCGCGGAGGACAAATAAAGTGTCACTGTTTGTCTGGTTTTGATGGTCAATATTGTGAAAGTATTGGTAAGTTTTATTATCAATAAATTTAAATTAATATTATTTGCGTTAACTAACAATGCATTTTATCTGCTACAATATTATGTTATCACATAGCTCATAACCATAACTCATGATTTATTATTTTAAAAATATACTTTTGGGAATGAATATTTACAACTGGAATGTTAAATAGTATAATATAAAAGTGCATGATGATTTAGCTGAACTACGTGTAGGCTTAATGCCTATCAAACCGGCAGCAATGCGCAATTCTACTGTGGATTTTAAATGTGAATACAATCATACTTATACAATGCAAATTCACTTTGAATTGACATCTTTTAATGGATTACCCATGACAGCATGAGTCATGGATTACAGTCCTATTATACCTACTAAAAATGGAGCATATAAAACATTACGTGTTCACTTTGGGGATTATCCTTGCAACGTTGAATGTTATATTTTGGATCGTTATCAGAATGAATTAGCCGTAATTTCTACAACAATATTACCAGGTTGGCCGAACGAAATCATTTTTCGTTCAGCTTACGTTTTTGTCCAAAAGTTTATTGTCTTTTGTTAACTGATTAACTGTTATAAGTGACAATTTATTGTTGTAGTTTTTGTTATATAGATGCTTGTGCTTTAATAATTATGACTAACTTAATAGTTATTTTATCAAATTTGTGAATTAATTTTTTTTATTTTTATAGCCGAGGATACATCAAACGATTCATTATATCCCTTAGTATATCCACCAAGAATTATTGTGTCAGTTCAAGAAAATAAATTCCAAATAGTTCACACTGGAAGTACAGTGAGATATCATTGTTCCGGACGATCATCAGATAATGTACAAGATTTTTTATCTTATTAAATATTAATAAATGATTCAAAGATCATTTTATTGATATTTTTTTTTTACAGGCACCTCTTCGTATTCGTTGGGAGAAAGAAGGTGGAAGATTACCAGACCGCAGTTTAGATGATGCCAGAGGTCTTCTTATCATTCGTGATGTTAAGGTATCAGATAGCGGTGTCTACATCTGTCAAGTTACTGATGGTATTGACGTTGCAGTTGAAAAGGTTACTCTAACTGTAGGAGGTAAGCAGTACAATTTTTGGTAATTCTTTTTATTTTACGGTCCACAATTCTTCAATTCATAGAAATGATATTTAAAATTTTTTTAAACAATCTCATTTTTTTTTTAAAAGTTCATCAAAAATAGAATAATTAAAAAAAGAATTTATTTTTACAAATTTTCATGATAAGTTATTGTAATCCACCGCTAGATAAAATAATTAAAAAAAAATTTTTTAAATATGACCGTGAAACTAAACAATTCCCCAATTTTTCATTTAATCTATTTGATATATTTATTATGATGATCGGAAAAATAGACCCGAAAAAAATTTATAAAAAATTCATATTATTTCATTAAAATTATTATAAAATAAAAATAATAATAATTACTAGCAACCTTGCAGTCACTATGTGACTGTCATGACTTGCAAACTATCAATAAATAAAATTTTGCTTTATTAAATAATGACTTTTGTTAAATTGCACTGTACTTTTTTAAATATTGACCTTTTTAAAGATATAAGCTCATCCCGATGTTACGCTCATCAAGAGCTTTCATTTGAGTACCCACATGCATTTTGATATATTTTTCATATATACATATATTTATAATATATATAAATATATGAAAAATTGATGTGGGTACTCAAATGAAAGGTCTTGATGAGTGTAATGTCGGGGTGAATTTATACCGTTAAAAATATCAATAGTTCACAAAATAAAAGGTTGTTACTTAATGACGTTAAATTGCACTGTACTTTCTTAACTATTGAAGTTTTTAAAGTTATAAGCTCATCCCGATGTTACGCTTATCAAGAGCTTTCATTTGAGTACCCACATGCATGTTGATATATTTTTCATATATTCATATATATATAAATATATATAAATATATGAAAAATTGATGTAGGTACTCAAATGAAAGGTATCGATGAGTGTAATGTCGAGGTGAGCTTATATCTTCAAAAATGTCAATAATTAAGAATTGACACTGCTATCTTGTCAACTAATGACATTTTT